TTTTCATCTTAAAAGTACAGATCACCTTTATAATTAGGTAGTTTTATTTTATATAATGTGTGAACAGGAAATAAATAGTATCATTTTTTAAAATAATTTTCACTAGAGTGCAAACACTTTATGGATCATATGATCTAAGTGTTTAACATCAATAGTAATAATTCACAGTTATTTTATTGTGAGTATAAATGATTAATTTAGTTTATATACAGATAAGGATGTATGTTATATCCCGACGAGGATTATGAATGATAACTATTGGAATCTATTTCTAGACTAATACTATACATATATTTTTTATTGTATAATTGTTAGATAAATAAACTATGCATATTCATATTCCTCTTATTGTAAGCTTTATTTTGATCCATAGACTATTATTATCCGATTTACCGTTCTTGAGTTATACCCAGTCTATTAATTACAGTCTCTCATATTCACAGCCACGTTTGACTAGATCTTGTACAAATGTTGTTTTCTATTTTGTGATGCGATGTGGTCTGTTTGGTTTGCATATAAACGCATTATGTTTGTAATATATGATTTATATCGCGGAGGTTGAGATTGGTGTTCTGAACTTGAGAGGCAGGAAGGCTAGGCAGAAAGAATGATCGATAAATACTCTAGGAGTGCTAGTACGATTTATACGTCGTTGATCCAGTCGATAGATCTCCGTCTTCTAATTAGCGGCATAAGGCCACAAGTTATAACAATGTGATACTAGATATACAATATGTTTTTCTTTATACATTAAAACTCTTTGGACACATTTCTGATTTCCAAACTTTACGAAATGAGCATAGGAAAATTCAAACTTTATGAATAGTATTAGAGTCGACCAAATTCAAACTACTAAACAAAGAACATAGTATTGAGTTTTACTACCTAAACAATTGGACAGTAATTATCACTATTTATGGTTTTGTTACTAGTTAAACAAAGAGTTTATTGACGGAAAGACACTTTGCTGTTTAATTTTGTCTGATATCAAATAATGCAAATAAATAGAATAAATAACTATCGAAAACATTATATAAATATACATAACAGTGTTAATGATGGTAATAGAATAATCAACTATGTAACGTGGTAAAACAGTTTTTAAGTTCAAACGCATGACAACTTCTAAATAAAGCCTGAAATCTCCGCAAATGATTTTTATCACAAAACTGCTACAATAAAAGTTCAGTGCATCAAAAATTCATTTTAAATGGAAGTATGAACCTAATCTAAAGCTATGATAATCGCCCCAGCACTTGAAAGCTATAGTTGACCAATAACAAGAAGATCAAAACAAGAACGAAACGACTATTCAGTGTTATATATCTTTCTACATACAAAGCACGAAAACATGCTTAGTATTTCCTTGTAGAATGAAAATATATAGCCTATAAGTTATTCCATTCTTCCTCAAAACAAGTTCGGATTTCAAAACCAATATAAATCTTGAAATTATTTTTAAATAGTACAATGCTTTAGATATAAATTAGTACTATGGTTAACCCAGTTTATAAACGACGTTTGTTTTTTAATAAGTAAAGTATATAAAATGACCGTGTTGAACTCTTCAAGTGAATATAAAGAGACATACGTTTTGTATAACTACAGGATAATATGAGATCAAAGATCATGACAGGTATAGATCTCAAAGAAGCATATTGATTTAGTAGTAAAAATCCTAGTCATAAAAGTACCTCTAAACCATTACACTGTCAGAGACTATGCCATACAACATTTTAGGTTCTCCTCATTAATTATTATTAAACAGTTTCGCCTTAACCTGAGACAACATTAGTAGATTTGATTCCATTTCATTGTTAAAGAGTGTTTCAAAAATTCAAAACTTCTTTGTTATTACTGGAATTACGAAGTGTTTTAGTCGATCCAATGGGTTTTTTTCTATGTTCATTCTCAGATAAAGTTCTGGGACAACATAATTGGTGGATAAATACTTTGAGCACTGGACGGCTGTTCCGTCCTATTACGGGACACTTCAGCAGTGCGCATCCATGATCCCCCATGTGGGACTCGAACCCAGGACCTTCGGTCTGGCTCTCGAACGCCCAACTTCTAAACCACTGAGCCGGCGCATCCAACGAAGCGGAGTGCAGCCTTGTCTGTTGTGAGGCAGTTACTCGGTGAAGACAATGGTGAACAGTCGCTCAATATCGTGGAGGGATTGAAATTAAACATTAACATCGTTGGATGCCGGCTTAGTGTTCTAGAGGTTAGGTGTTCGAGTGGAAGACCGAAGGCCCTGGGTTCGAGTCCCGCGTGGGGGACCGTGGATGCGCACTGCTGAAGAGTCCCATACTAGAAATAAACGGCCGTCCAGTGCTTCCAGGTTTTTTATGATGGTCTAACATTGATCGATTCAATCAAAAACTTAACAATCTCCACAACCCTTTACTGATATAAGATTAGTTTTGTCTTCGCACTACTCTGTTAAAAACTGAATTGTTTTGTGCTTGTCTAGGCAACAAGTGTAATCTGATCTTTGGTAAGTGATATTATGTAAACAGTTGAAATTTCACTACTCGTCTAATTTTTTATGTCTGAATATAAATGTGTTATCTACTTTCGTTTCCTCATGAAAAAGGAAACATAAAATTTGACTCAGTCGTTCAAGTCCATTGTATACCATTATTATTATGACTTTTATCTTTTCAGCTGTGGAATATGTTTATTCAATAAAGAAAATACAACTAAATAAATAGTGTTGTATAAATGGATATCATGTTAACAATAAAATTATGAGTTATTCACAAATCTACCAGTCGGTGAAATGATCAGAAAGAAAGTTGGCTTAATAACGTTATATCGTTATTTCGCTGTTATTCTGAATGATGTATTCACTGAATTGATCAGAAATATGGTATTTGATAAAATGGTTAGTAGATTCAAAATTTTTTACGTGTGATGGTGATAGTAAAAGGTATTATAATTCAGGAAAGCATTTGAACAAGCCTATAATTTGCAAAATCACAGTTGTGCAGGTTAAACATAAACTGGGAAATATACACTCGACATTGGTTCTTTTATAAGATACTATATATTTCTATATATGGGGGAGGGGTATTTTTAAGAGAAAAGAATCCATAATTCATCTATTCATACCACATAAAAGCTTGTTATGTATACAATTACTGCTTGACGAAAATTCCTGAAGATTGTTCTACATAAAACCTGCTAATATTCCAGAAATGAATTTTGTTGGCTACGAGTATGTAAGAACTGGTATCCACGCGTAATATGTAGAGCTGAAATATTAAGTACAATAGTTATGTAAACTTGTAGTTAAATGCCAAATAGTTTTTTTACTGAATTCATAGTTTTTAGATAAGAGAGAAATAGTAAATAATGTCAACTGGGTTGCAAATAAGTGTAATCTAAAAGTGTAGACTTTGAAGGAAAATGTCTTTTCAAAATTGAGCTGAAAAACAATTTGTAGGCACATCTGGGGCGCCACACCAGAAATCACTTACATTTCCACATACAGTCGTACCCATGATATACAGATTTTATAATATGCTTGATATCCTCACACTAATTCCTTATAATCCCAATATTCCACCGTTTAAAACTCACTCAGCCTGAAAACTTTTACAGTTTTCATCCAAAACTATCAGTATATTTTACTGATCTCCACAAAACCCATTCTGATATCAGTAAATTATTAACTTACCTATGTTTGAGCTGAACCCACTAAAAATGATTTCTCAATACAACCTTTCTCAACTTCTGTCAAATATTGACTAAACAACCATTAATACAGTAGATAATTTGGCAGAAATATTTTATATGTTACCATGCTTATTTTCACCCAGTTTTTGGTAGTGGGTATATAAAAATAAAAAGCCCATAAATCAGGCCAAAAACTGTTATCCGGTTTTCACTATTTTTTCAGATGATACCATTTTATAGTAATATCATTTTCAAGATCAAAAGGAATTTTTCCTTAAGAATCAATTAGGCATGTGAGAAAAACCAATTAGCCCAGAATATGTGTTAGTTTTCGCAATAAATAAATTTTTTCGTGTTAAATTAAAATTTTTGTTCAGTTAACATGAGCATCTATACAACTGATTGATCACTGGGTGATGATCAATGCCATGTATGTCAGGCCTTTCTTAGTGAAGATCGAATCCTATCGACTACGTTGAAATGTGACAACCAGAATAAGTGACTCGACATTGCGTGCACTATGTTGAGATAAGATAATGGTTGGAGGTGGCCAACAGGAAATCCTGGACCTAGATTTCTTGGGCAAATTGCGACTTGGTTGATAGGATTCGATCTGCACTAAGAAGAACCTGACATACATGAAAGTGGTCACCACCCAGTTATCAGTCAATTGTAAATATATCTCAGTCGTACAGGAGGTCGGTCACGGTCCGGATAGCTCAATGGTAACGTCCCCGACTGCGAAGCCGTGTGACACGGTATAAAATCCGTCATAGAGCATCAGTTCAGGTATATCTTTCTGACAAGTGCCAAGTAGCACGAAATCTAGGTACAGGGTTTTCTGTTGACTACCTCCAACCACCATCTTATCTCAACATAGTGACCGTCTGTAGTCAAATCTTTGAAATGTTTGTCATTTTTAAAGAATACATATATTTACATTACATGAAAAATACAAATCGTTTTCTTAACTAAACAATCAACTAATCAATCGTTGGATGATTGAGGATACTTTATTTTTTCTTAGAATAAATAACCAAGGAAATATACATAGATACATATATTTTACAATAGACTTGGCGTCTATTCACTTCTCATTACAACTCTCTATCTCTCTCTCTCTGTTATCTAACATTCACTACTAATCGATTCAAATCGAATCATTGGTTACACATATTATTATTTTTATTCTCTCTTGAATGATTTCAAGTATTCACAAACAGTTTACACTATATTAATCTGATTGGTTATTAAGATGAATCCAAAATTTTGAAAAAAATCAAAATAAAACAAACGTTTCTCTCTAAACTATGATATCGATATTTATGCATATTGATCAATTCATTCATATACATAGTTTATTCCATATAGAATGTTATGAAAAATGACTATAATATTCATTTGATTATAAGAAACTTTGAGCATAACAACAAGTCACATATACAATTTAGATTTTTTGATAAATTGTACTCCATTTTTTTAAAAAAAATTAAAAAAAGACTCTAACTCAAACAAACATCCTACTTTTATCATTGAAATGTAATATAAGTATATAAATATATACAAATAGATTGTATTCTTTAAATGATCATTTAATTACATTAATAATAATAATAATAATAATGAATAAACAATCATTGAATACAATTACACCATTATTATGTATCACAATACATATAGAAAATTATATTGAATTATATATACATGATGATTATTCATTACCAATATTACAATATCGTTATGAACAATATTATAATAAACCATGGAAACAACCAAAAAAATGTATTAAAACAAAATTAATATTAACTTATACATCATTAATATTAAGAAATGGTTCTTGGTGGCCATATCGTTATGAAAATGTAATTCAATATAAAACAATACAAAAAATTATTCTATTTAATCAACATAAATTACAATTAGCTATTGGTTTATATGATGATGATTATATTGAAAAACAATTTTTAATTATAACAACAAAAAATATTACTGATATTGATAAATTAATTCAATTCATTGATACACAATTATTAATATGGAAATATACATTCAATAAACAAATCGATTATTATCCTTATCAATTATATAAAAGAAAATTAATAACCAATAATAAATTACAATTAATACCACTAAAGAATAAAGCATTAAATAGAAAAGGTTTAATTGATAAAAACCAAATGGTTCCAATGACAAATCATGTAATTGGATTGAATTCATTAAGAAATACTTCATTCAATCAATTGAATGAAAAGATTATTGATAAATCGAATGATATATTAGAAATTAATTATAATAATCCACAATCAAATCATCATTATAATGAGCATAAATCAATACTACATACGTATAATAATATAAATGATCATGATTTACATAATGATAAAAGAATAATTGAAGCAATTCCAAGTACTTCAAATAATAATCATAATCATAATCATAATAAACATCGAAAAGAACATAATATAAAAAAAGAAAGAGAAGAAAATAAAAAAATAAAAAATAAATTATGTCAAACAGATTCTTATTATATTGAGAATAATAATATCAAATCATGGGAAGTTGATATTAAACATGTACGTTATGATCCTATACAGGGAAATATATTAGATGATAATGGTTCAGTTTATTTATATTCTGCACATGAAATTGACTAATATATATATATATATATATATATATATATATATATATATATATATATATATATATATATTCATAATCAATGATCTATTAAGGATTAAAAAAGGTTTTAATGAATTATTTGATTTTCCAATATGATCAATGGAATATTGATTTGTTCATGTTTTATTTTATAAACATTTATTTACTTTTAAGTGTTATGCTATTTTCTTCAACAAAAAAAAAACAACTATTGAGCTGTAATCCATATTTATCATTAATGAATTGTAATAATAAAATTGAGATCAACTATTCTATATGTTGCTAAAGCAAATTTAATAAGAATAACTATTGAAATGTTTTATGTTAGTAAGTAATTTTCTATGAAGAACGGTTCATATAAAGAAAGTTTTATTATACGATAATAATTAGCTTAACTTATTAGAAATGTTAACTTATTTTACTAGTGAGAAACATAAATAACAGTTGTGACGTATATATATATATATATATATATATATATATATATATATATATATATGTCAATAGTTGAGATCATGAGTCACTTGAAGCTAGACCTCCATGGAAAACCTGGGAGCACTGAACGGCCGCTTCGTCTTAGTATGGGATGCCTCAGCTGTGCTTATCTACGATTCAATCGACTAAGGAATTCTATTATTAAATTACTATAATATCCACAAAATCCCTTCTGATACTAATCAACATATGTTCACTAGTGATTTATTTAAAGAGGTATTTCCTGGAGTTCTAGTGAGAAGCAATGATCAGTGGAATTCAACCGGGTCGGTTGTGAGATAGAAGCTAACTGATGACAATGGTGGATGTATCGCTCAATTACGTGGATTAGTTAAAGTGAGACATTAACACCATTGGATGCCGGTCAGCTCAGTGGACAAGAGGTTAAGCGTTCATGTTCGAGACGGATAGGTCCTGAGTTCAAACTTCGTGAGGCGGAATCATGGATGTGCACTGTTCAGAAGTCCCACAATGAGACGAAACGTCATTTCAGCGCTTCCTGCTCTTCAATCATAATATCAAACATATATTTCATCAGCATTCAAAGCTTGAAGACAGCGTCGTTTTCAATTGTTTTAGTCATTGACTGACACGTCGACAAAATAGAATTATCATGAAGCTTCAAAATAATGTTCAAATTTTCATTTATTCATGAATTAACAATATTGTGATGTACACAATGAAATGTTAATTATTGTTGATGAATGAGTTACATTGAAAACAACGTCAGTGTTATACTCTCGTGTATTTACGTATGTCTAGATTAAATTATTACAATTTTGAGTTGGAAAGTATTTTGAGTATCAAAAACGTTGTACAAAGTCCAGATAAGCTAATTTCTAAATGATAAATGTATCGATTAATGTTATCAGCTAATTAATTACAATACTTAATTGATTTGGGAAACCAATGAACTAAAATCCCAACTTCTTGAAAATGAGTATCCATTTAAATCCTATACAATCGACTATGAACTTAGATATGTAGAACAACACAATTAAAATAAAGATACATAAATAGATTTACCAGCAAGGAAACTCTATGCTTCAGGTATGACGTAAGAATCTCTGGTGCATCAAAAATTAAGGGGGGAATCATCGTGTAGCTTCAACCCAAATCACTCTATTAGAACTATCCGTTAAATGACTTAAGTGAAATTTGTTAAAAATGGCATTTCAGTAAGCAATACCTTAGTGTATTTAATATTTTAACTCACTATTTAAAGAACAATACTAATACTAGTCTAACAACTGTCTCTTATATTATGAGTTAATTACATCACCAGTTCTTTCTAAAAACAAAATATTTGAATGGATTATCAATCTTTTCAAATTTCTTGATACCTTCGGTAACGTGATATCAAAATTAATTCAGAGACCCCATAATCTTGAAGTTCAATTTATTTTGAAAGATTTCATCGTATTTTCACTTCGCAGATAATGGTAAATAAAAGACAAGATAATAATAATAAACAACATAGGAATGATGAGACTTACAGAATTAAAAGCGCATTCATTCGATTTTAAGGCTACAAAGAAAAGTAAGATTGTCATTCAATAAATTTGAACTTACAGCATTTTCAGTTTTGAAGACTATACTTCCATTTAAGTAAAGACTTGAGAATACTAATTCCTAAAATCTTGTAGAAGTCCTTTTCTTAACTCTTTTTATAAACCTGTCACATCAAATGCATTCAAGTCCAATAATACAGTTGACGGTGGTATCAATAGAGTTATAATCAACTTTTGAATAGTCTAATAAACATTCCGTATTGTATGCTGAAACCAGTTGAGCTGAAGAAGAATGCGTTTTTTTGTGCCCCTCCTAACTCTTCTATAAATTCTTGGTAAAATCTTATCCAAATAAAATAGAAAATAGAGTTTTTGTTTATGCTTACCAGATTACTTTTCTTCGTATTTCATAAAAACATTTTTAGATAAGCATTTAAATAATTCTTTGATTTTGTTGTCTGAACATAATATTCTGAATCTCACAGAGTTTTTCAGCAAGATTTTTATCTACCAGGACAAAACTGTCTTCATTTAAGTACTACTTCATCGATGTCTCTTTCTTGTATATACTTTTTTAAACAGTCCTATAACTTTTTGTTTTATGTCAAGATCTTAATAGCTAATCAGTTATCATTACCATAGAGATATTATCAGTCACTTTAAAGAATAACAGGTTTGATATAGTCAGCAGTTTTTTTGCTCTTCAACTGATAACATTATTCATCTAACATATTGGTTTAGAGCATCTAACATTTTATGGTTAGAAATAAATTTTACAATTATTTATATGATATGATTCATGTTTATTTAGGCTGGCTTAGTACTGAAATAATTACAGTTTCCAGCACAAGATAAATCATGTTGTTCAATTTTCTCAGAATTGTAAGTCCAGAACCTATTCGTTAACTCTCTAATGTTAATCATTTCCTGATCACTGTCGATATTATTAATTTCTTATTACCTATTGTGTAATTTCTGAATGTTTGTCAATAAGATATAAATTCTTGTATATTATTCCACCATTAGTAATATCAATTACAAGAATGATAAATTAAAGTGAGTTAATGAGAAGATAATGTTTGTCATAACCATCCAATATTTTGGTACATTAAATTTAGAACGATTTAATCATACGCTATTTTTATTAAAATAGATTTATATGATAAATACAACAATCAAAACTATTAGATAAACTAAAGGATAATAAGATAAAACAGAACAACTCACATCACCTTTGATATTAAAAATGTGAGTTACTATAATTATGGTAGGTTTGTTGTAAGTACAAACTTTTTTTGAATATGTATATGGTTAAGACTCTGATAAATTTGTGTATTCAACCTTGATCACTTCCATAAAACACTATAAAGATTGTCTTTAAACAGGTTTTATGAATCAATTCTGCTTTACGTTTATCAATAAAAAAGAATGGGTATTTATTATCTGTTCATTAGAATGGGTTTGTTTTTATAAATATTCAGGAAAATATTCAATTATCTCTACTTGAATATTCTAATAACTTCTGTTTATGTTGTATGTGGACGGTGTTTGGCGTAACAGCTTGTATCAAGTTTGATTGACTAATAAAGCATAGGCTTTGTTTTTCCTGTTACGATTGTGATTTTGAGTAAAAGACATTAATGACCACGGATTCACGTTTCTATTTGAATACAAGGCGACTAAACTAACTACTGAATGATATGGTTATGTAAACATATTATTTTAGTGATGTCAACATAATTACCAACATATTTTGGCTCTTTCATCTAGTTTCACTTTAAAATAACTGTAGTCTCTATATCACTATTCCATGTAATATCTTCACTTCATCTTCGCTAACAACTTTTGATCAAACGCCACTGATTGTATTAAATCGAACTTTTATCAAGACTTAATAATATAATGACCACAAAGAAGCTATAAAAACTGAGTTATTGTCTTATTCACTCAGGCCTCCTGTATATTTCGATTCGCCATATAACTAAGGAAGATAGCTGACTGATCTCCTCTTTGTAAAATGAAACACTAGTGAAATTTTCAATTGTATTTAGTTTCTTTAATAAACTAATAAGAAATAACAGATAAAAATGAAAATTTTATCATTCTTCCTTATTCTAGAAATGATAATAATTCCTAAAATCTCACAGTATAATACATTCAAAAGACAAGCAGTTAAATTTTGGTGGAGTTTTGTTCTCTGAGCTGGATGGTTCGGTTGTGGAGCTTTCATCGTTCTTCTGAACGACATCATCAGCGCAAACGTCAGATAGAAGTGAAGTGTTCGAATTTCTTCATATGTGTTTCACAGCTTGTTCTGTACACCTCGATGTTGATTGGCTCTTCTTGACTTTAAATTTATCATTGTTTACTTCTTTGTTATGGTTGTCTCCCAAAAGAAGTCTCCCCAAAGAAGTAAACAATGATAAATTTAAAGTCATTATGAACTAATCGACATCGAGGTGCACAGAACAAGCTGTGAAACACATGTGGAGAAATTCGAACACTTCACTTCTATCTGAAGTTTGTGCTGATGATGTCGTTCAGAAGAACGACGAAAGCTCCACGACCAAACCATCCAGCTCAGAGGACAAAACCACCCAAATCATCCACCTGAGCTACAAATCTTCTCCACCACCTCGCAAGTAGTTAAAGAATAGATTTGTTTGCCTCATTTATCCAGAAGGTCAAATGAAGTGTCTTAGATATATGAAGAATTATCTTAACTAAAACTAACATGAAATATAAAATAATTATACCATAGTCATGAGACTATGAAATATTGACTGTGATCTACTTCAGCTTTACTATTAACAACAAAGGCTAACAAAATATGTTTACTAATTTATTGATCTTTTTACATGAGTATATTCATCGCTCAAGTTTTGGAAAGTTATATATATATATGTACTAGTCTTTGTGTAAAATAATGGCTTAGTAACTAATCAACTTTTTAACTAATCAATAACATGTAATTGTTGACCCGATAAATATTATTCTTTTAACAAAGTGATTTACATGAATCCATTAAATTAATTATTCTGCATATATTAGCATTCCTAAATAAATATTGATCATGATCTAAGTGATTATATATACAGAACTGTACAAATTCAAAAGTCATGTGCGTAAAAAATGGAATTACAAAAATGAAAATAAAGAAATCTACTAGAAAATGAATTGTTTATTGAAAACTGAATGATTTTTGTACTATTCCATTGGTAATTTGAAATAGCTATACGGAAATAATCAAATAAAAATAATAAGAAACTTATCTTAAATCCAATGAGACATTTTTTTCATAATGTATTGTTGTTATAAGGTTGCTATTGTACAATGTAGACAAGAACCTGTTATAACTAGTAAATTATTATAACTGGTCATCGCTGATTGTTGTGCCGGAAAAGTGCTGATCGCTTATACTCGGAACGAGAGGCCTCTGCGATTCCCACGACGTGAAAGTAAGAACACAAAGACTGATATAAGTGATGATTTACTAACTCCAAAACACTACGACGACGACGACCCTAGTCTAGAATACACTCATTTATATATTGATTGTACACCCATTTCGATTAATAATTAGGATGAAATCACATATATGAAAAATACTTAGAGTTATAACAAATCACATACTGAGCATAGTTCATGTCAATGGAATACAAGAATATCGCATATTATACAGTATAAAATATCATACGAGAAAAGAAAACAAATAATACATTGAGTAATCATTACATTGAATCAAAAACGGAAGTAATCTTGAACAAAACTTATAATGAGTAAATCAATCGAAAATTGACATTTCTTTCCATCATATCAGAACTATCATTATCGATTATCTTCCTAATTAAAGTCAGAATTAACTAGTACAATTCTCGTGTGTTTACTGAAAAGTAATTAAACATTGCACCGATCAATTGTTGAATAATAATTAATTTCGTCCTTGACCAGTTTCGAATGTTGATCGAATTGTATTGATCAAGTTGCGAAGTGGTCGCTGGTTTAACTGAATCAACATTGGATGCAATAAGTTTGATATTGGATGTTTGTGAGTAACCAAAACACATATCTAAACTTAATGCTAGTTAGTACACGTCAGCAAAATATGTCTGTAATCTAGTGTCCATATCGTAATTTGATCTATCGAGTTCAACCAGTACTAATGAATAAATAAATATGATATTGGTTACTAATCAGTGACCGCCATTGTAAGATACTTCAACTGTACATTAAGTCAATTTTGACTCGAATAGAACAGTAGTAGTATTTCCGACAGTAACACTTGGTAATGTAGGCTCAAATAGTACGGAAAGTATGCGTTGCTTCAAGAATGCAAATATGCCGTACTTACAAGCAACAATAAGCTCAAAATCCAAATTCAGAGCTTCCCACTGGTTGAAATATTTTTCACTCTGTAACGGAATTTGGATCAACTCGATAAAACATGTTCAGTACCAAAGATTACTTAAAGCAATACTAGTAAGCCCTTAAATTAGTTCATGTTCTAAAACAGAAAATAATTTTTCAAACTTTATTTTTTTAAAACAGATTCTTTTTTTCTCTCAGATCGAACATAATTTATGTCAGTAAATAATTATCATTTAATATAGGGTCAGGTAGAAGAAAAGTTTTTTTTCAGTTCTGTTGAAAGAAACAAATAGGCAGTAAAGAAGAAAAAAGGACTTAACGATGAGAAAAAGTACGACAACAAAAGGAAGAGAAAAAATCATGTAAAAACAGGATACAGATTACGTAAAATCAATTTAACTTCTTGTTTCAATGGCTAAAAAATAGCACATATAATGAGTGAGATGATTATTATTATTTAACATTATCAAGTAATGGATAACAGACTAATAAGAATAATCAGTATTATCATCATTATGATTAATATCATTTAGTCACTTGCATAATATATCAAAGAACAAAGAAAAGATTTAGAATTGAGAAAAGATTTTACTTTGTATAAGTAAATAAACATGCGAATAGACTAGTGATAAATTAAGAAAAATTTCAAGGGGAATTGAAATAATTTTAAATGATAACATTATTCATTGTTCATTTAGATTATTCTTATTTGTAATAAAGCAGAAGAGTTGGTTGTTGTTGTTGTCGTCGTCGTTCTTGTTGTGTTTTCTTTTTTGGAAATCATAAGATCTTATCAACAGTTTTAGTAGGTTTTTGCTTACACTGTAGCCTATTTCATAACTACTCATTAAACTCGAAAGAAATCATAACAGAACAACAATAATAATGATAAATGATTCAAATAGAGAGGTTAGCAACTATTTTTTTCAACAATTACGTTGTTAATAGAAGACAAATATATAAGATAGAAAAAGAAAATATTATTTTAAAGAGAGTTAAATGAATAAATGAGGAAATGTATGCTTTATGATTACGTACATACAACTTGGAAACAAAAAACTAACAAATCAATAACTGTTAGAATTGTTTTATATTATAATAAAGTTTTGTATAATCATTTTCTTTGTATATAATCATAAAATTTCTTTTAAATATTTAAAGAAAATATGAGTATAATAAAGCATCCGGTTAGGCGAGGAAGGGAACAGATTTCTTTTTATTTCCAATAAAGAAATATTCATGGGAATGAGAATAAGTAAATAAATTAAGAGAAAACAAAAACAAAGGGAGGGAGCATCGAAGAATTTTGTCTAAAAACACAACAACAAAAAGACAACAGAGAAAGGCAAGATAAATGTTGAAATGTTTAATCACATTAATAGTTATCATGATAAATAAAAGATAATAGTATACACATGTATTATATTAGATAATCCTTCCATGTTTGGCAACAACAAAAAAAAAACATCTATAGTACTTTGGAAAGTTAAAAAAAAAACAGACAAAAAAAAACGAAATGGGAGAAAGTAAAGCGTTGAAAATGAAAAGTTTTAGTAATAGTTTTTTTCGTTGTTGTTGTTTCAAGTCACAAAATACATAAGTGAACAGTCAGTGATTGACTTTCTATAACATCCATAACGTATCATTTTTTCTTTATTTCTTTATTTAGTGAATATGATCTCATCTTATACATACAAGTATGTATACACATTGAAATGACTAGCAAAATAATAACATGAACTAAAAGAAAATGAAATCTTTCCTTCTTTTTTCTTTTAAGAAAAACAAAACTGATTTGGAATATTCTTTCTGTTGGTTGTTTTGTCTACTTGAAAAATAATATTCCTCTAATGATTGTATCATTTACACAATTATTTCCGGAGATTTTTATTGATTTGTTTGTTTCTATGTTGTTGTTTGAATTTTATTCAAAGTGGGAAAAAGCATTTGTTGTTAGTATAATCAAGGGGGAGGGGAGGAGAATAAAAGGTTTCTATGAATTACTAATGTTTTGAGAGAGAAAAAATGTATAAATCAATGAATGATAATAGTTCATAGATTGTGTGTGATATTGTGCTTGAATATGGGAACATAATGTTTTCTTTTTAGATCATAAATTTATTCTGAAATGTTAGTTAGTATATGGTCTATTACAATTTTGAAGCCATTTATCATGATAACATTAGGATAAGTTAGTTTTCCTGTACAAAATATGTAATTTTAAATTACTTTAACTGAATTATTATCATTCACCAATAAAGATGGTATGACTTGTAGGCAAAATTTACATCCAAATGAGTTACCATTAATATCTTTGATTTTTACTGAATAAATTCCAGAATCTTTTGATGCTTTCACCGATGGAAGGATGCATATACTGGTTTGAGCAGATTTATCAAAATCACAATAATTAGGATCCAACGGAGTATCGTTGCGAAACCAAAAAACTAAAGTTTTATAAAATGGTTCAAAAATAATAAGTTTTATCAATTTTCGTAGTTCTTTGTACAGTTAACATTGTGAAAGCATATATGAAAAGGTAAACCTATGAGGAAAGAACTACGTATTAATGAATCGTGAACTATTTACTCCACGTCACTGATCAACGGTTGTTACTCAAAATACCAAATCTTTGATCACAATGGTTTTTAAACACATTTAATTTATTTGCTAGGTTGCTTTAGAGTCTTAGTTCGAAAGTTAAAATCAACAGGGAAATAAGATGTTCGGGAAGATATGTAGCTCATGTGGATGATCTTGTTGGAGATCGTTCTCTGAGCTGAATGGTTTGATCGTAAAGCTTTCATTATTCTTCTGAAAAACATTATTGGCGTAAACTTCAGCTTTTGTCCCAATGTTGTACTTATAATGTTATCTAATAGAATAGTGAAAGCTCTATGATCAAGCTATTCAGCTTAAAGAACAAAACTTTAACAGAAAACGAGTTATTCACTACTCGGAGACTCTGGACCCAGTAGCACTATCCTACATGTGACCGAGCTAATAATCTTTAGGCCTCGGCTCAAGTACGATACCTTTTTCATCCAAGTTCCTTAACCGGTGAATACGAATTGCAATCCATAAATTAGGTCACTAATGAGTGGACAGTATTTTATGATAACTTTAAACCAGAAAGATTCATCTTGGTCGCCAAGCTTAGAATTAAGTTTTTACTTTATAAAATAATTCTTGAAAATCTACCGAGAAAATGCTTCTAAATTAAATGAATTCCCTGAACCAATGTGAACCATAGAATGCTTAATAAAATTAAAGACAAATTCTTGAGATATGAAGCCCGAATAATTTCCATATGTAACATAACATTAAATATGTTAAACTTCACTCCACTAGTAAGTTTTAATTTACATATAATGAAAATTGAACGATTTAACCTTATATTATATTTACACTCGTTATGCTTCATTTTAATTTAGGAAGCTTAATCACAAGTTAGTAAACGAAACTATAAAAGCAAACAAATGAGAAAATCTACTCTACTTCATTCATTTACTCTCTCAAATAATATGGTTTCATTCTGCAGTGTAATTACACAGGTTTCGAGAATTTTGTTAAATTAAGTACCTTTTTGAATGTAAAACTAGTTAGCGATGAATTACTTCCAACTCTTGGGTAATACAATCCAAAACAAAAGAAATCATGAAAGCAATACAAAGTAAATCAGAGAAAAAGATTGGTGAAATTTCAAGTTATCTTTATTTCACACTCTATCTACATGTTTGTGCGTTTTCAACCGAACTGCTTACTCACCTTCTTCAACTGGTGAATTACTAAAGGAACATTTCAAAGTAACAGATTCATTTTCTTCAGCACTACGTGATTGTGGGAAAGTGAGGAAATTAGGTCCTTTTGGCACTTCATTTGCAGCTGTAAGATGATAAAACAAGAATTTTTTAAATCATTCGATTTATAAAAATTAGATACTACTTGATGTTTAAAGTGAAAAGCAAGGTGAGATATTCATACAAAATCACAACCCACTTAGTAAACGTACTTTCATAACTCTGACTAGTCCTTTAATCTGTATTTGGAAATCCTTAAGTTACAATGAATTACAGTAGATGGCTTCTGTTCATTTAGCCACTTGTGAGATATATTTTGTGATGATTGTAGACAGGTATATAGATACAGAAATATCCATAAACACTTGAATAGAAATTTCGATACGCCAAAGTATGTGTCGGATGCTTATTCAATAGTTATCTTAGGACGTTTCAAAGCCTTTAGTATCTCACTAAAATTAAGGCAGTTATAAATACTTGTGGGAGATAAGGAGCACGAACACTACTTCTCCAGTTTAAATATTATTATTCTACAACTAAATGTTAAATCTAACTAAGCTGCAGATATACAACAATCAATTATCGAACTCCAATACCATTTTGTTGTTGTTAAGGCGTTGCAATGTGCCGACAGTGAATAGAAACTTATATTTAACTTAACGATTTTATAACCAGTTTAAGTAATGAAAAAATTGTCAATGAATAAAACGATTCTAAATAGAATGCCTTAGTCTTAAACGTAATAGTTCCAATTAGAAGTGCCATTTCCATCTATTTTTGTGCATGAAAATTATGATGGTTACTTTGGACTAGGGAAACAGTTTACCGTTTAATCTTTTGGTTTATTTAATACCAGAGATTTTCATCATAAACTGAAATCAGCTTAGATAAAAACTCACTAGTTCAAAGAAGTAACTTGATAGAGTATTAAAAAAGAAAACCGTTCCTTTATTTAACTTACGTTCGACAACAAGGAAGGCAACAGTCGATGCTTTTCCCATTGAACTTGTGACACGACATTCGTAAGTACCAGTGTCTTCGGGTAATAGAGCTTGTAATTCAAGCTTTATGATTTCGTTATCTTGAGAAAATATATGTCCAGCTTGAATAGGACCATCATTATAATACCACTCAGCTTCTGGAATGGGATCTCCTGATACAGTGCACTCTAAACAAACCGTATCTCCTTCTTTGACAGTTTGGCTTATTGGATGGACAGTGAATAATGGCGCTAATCCAACAGCTTTAGGTATGATTCCTTCATCATTATCATTTATTACTTGTTCAACAGCTTGACTAGAAAATTCATCTGACAGTTCGTCATCATTTTCATCTATCATTCCATTCAATGAATTAGCTGGGGCTATATATGCAGTAAAAAAGTATTTTATATTAAGAGTAATGGGATTCACAACTGTTAAATTTGTCGTATAAATGAGAGTTTACCACTAAATTCATTACTTATTAAAATTGATAAAAGAAGTTTTGAATGCTATCTTCGAGCAAATCATGTTTTAAAATCTGGTAATTAGGAAATTAAAGGATGGAGTTTTGTAGATCAGCCATTCCTCCTACTGGATCGGAATATGATTCAAATGACAAGATTTAGTATGGAATTTAAAAAAATATTTGATTCCCTGTATTATATCTTACTGACTATAAGCATAAAATAAGTGGAAACAAGTTTCAGCCACTAGATTCAACTAGTATACATATAGTTATCAACATCATTGATGAGTCTTTAGATTATGTCAAACAGTCTTATAACATGTAGAACACAACATTTCAACTTATTAGCAACAAAACAATGTACTTGTATTCTGTTGTGAAAGAAATATAAAGAAGACGATTATAAAAATGTGATGTATACGATGAAATATCCATTCAGTTCCTTTTTTTGTTAACGGTGTGTGATGGAAAACTATTATCGAATCAGTTGTTTGGAGTTTAGCATAAAATGAATTATCAAAGCAATTCTTAAATTAGTGCTTCTCAATTTAATCTAAACAAAGCAACTAACATTTCAAAATATTCTTCTTGAATAAATGATACATACCTTCAATTTTGACACTGGTTCGAGTAATAGTTGCCCCAGCTTTAGCTTCATAATCACCTGCATTTGAAAAACTAGAATCAAATACTTCAAGATAACTGAATTCACCATCTTCAGATGTTGTGATCTTTATATTACCGTCTGAAGTGATTTCCTGCAATTCAGTGTAAATATATGACAATTTTAAAAACAGTTACACAATTAAGACAATCAGTTTTATTATGATATAAAAAAGTGGATTTTTGTTTCGTGCCAAATAGCGTTACACGATGGTTAAAAGTCAACTTAATAAAGATTTTCTCTATGTATATCAAGTCTTATTTGATAAATTCATCTTTAAATAACAGTAGTAACCAAATGAATTGAAAGTGTTATAATGTATGAAATATATTTATCAAACAACCAAGCTTAAATTTCATGGAAATGCATAGCGGTATGCGTATGAATTTGAATAACCCAATGGCAGAATTTCCATTCAATAGTTGGATTATATCATTTCAAATCTGTGATAAAAAGCTAGTGTTGATAAGCACAGAATATAGAGATGGTGATTGTTGTCGATTAGCCCGATTATGTCATGCACTAGGAACTAGTTGCTAAATTTGAATCAGATTACTATTTTCACTGATGTAAGTATCACGTGAAATGAGTCCAGGGCATTCTCTGATCTATATTTTCAGTTCATTCAACGAGATAACTTCATCCGATTGCTGTCAATAAACCACGAGGATTTTCTATAAGATGAATACCGTAAAACTAGTGGGAGCCAGTGGTATAACAAGTGATCTAGTCAAATTTTAAAAATCCTTAAGTAAAACAAGATTCTAGTGATCAGTTAGTATTCAATAAATAACAGAAAGTATAAATTTGAAATATAATGAAATAACAAATGCAGTGTGACGGACTGGTATTTATTAGTATTTGTGAGTGTTTAAAAAGATACGGATGAAAATATGCCATAAAAGTAGCATCTATCAAATTGAATTATAATTGCCGTACACTACCTGCTCTATTGACTTGTTTCGCCAAAAACACCGATATATATAGTCAAATATTTAATTACATTCAATTAAACTATCATAAAACAATAATTCATTACAAAATCTATTCAACT